CAACTGGAAAATGGCTTTGTGAATACTCAGTCTATCAAGTTCAATTTCTCTAAATCAAAATTTTGCAAAATAGAAATCTTAGCAAAAAGCGTTACTATTTCTGTCAGTTTTCAGTCAGTAACAATTGTGTGTGCACATACGCAAGCACTTTGGTGCTGTGGTCCCGGGGCTTGAACTCAGAACTTGAGCACTGACCCTGAGCTTTTTTGCTCAAGGCTGGCAGTGATTACTTGAGTCAGAGTTCCACTTCTGGCTTTTCACTGATTAATTGGAGATGAGTTTCAAGGACTTCCTGTCCATTCTGGCTTCAAATTGTGAGCCTCAGATCTCAGCCTCCCGAGTAGCTAGGCTTACAGGTGTGAGCCACCAGAGCAGGACAATATTTTTTTGTGTGCCTGTGCCTGTGCTTTGTGTGTGTGCCTGTGTTGTGTGTGTGTACGTGCGTGCGTGTGTGTGCACACATGCACATGCGCTCAGGCATGTGTGCATGCGTGTACAAGCCTGTGTGCCGGTGCTGGGGCTTGAACTCACAACTTGAGCTCTACTTTGGCTTTTTTGCTCAGACCAGCTTTCAACCTCTATTTCTGTCTCTTTGCTAGTTAACTGGAGAAAAGAGTCGGCTTTGTCTGCCTGGGCTGGCTTTGCACTGCGATCCTCAGATCTCAGCCTCCTGAGTAGCTAGGATTACAGGTGTGAGCCACCGGCGCCCAGCTCAAACAAAACTTTGAAGTATGGTTTTTGTTTAACGTTGACTCTTTTCACATTAACACTCATTACAAATCAGATCAAAGAAAGTGGTTTTCATTTCTCCCGTAGGTATTCAGGAAGAAGCCAGCAGCTTGGGCCGCTCCGCCATGGCGGAGGCTTGGGGTGCTGTCCAGCGGCTGGCAAACTGTCTTGCTTTGCTTCTAACGCATCAGTATTTTGATTTGATTCGATCTGATTATTTGCTTTGCGTAGGTGTACAAAGGGGTTTCCATTCACCAAGTCCGTTTCTAAGTCCGACGCCTTCAGATCCATGTCACCCTTTCCCTCCTTCTCCCCCGGGCATTCTTTTTAAAAGCATCTTTTACTTTTGTCTGTTTTATCTCTTCCCTTCCGGAGCCGTGGCTGGCCTTGCTCATCAGTTAATTCCTTCTCCACTTTTTGACCTCACTGCTGCCGGGCTCCCGTCCTCTTTCTGCTCGCTTTGGCCTTTCCTTTTCTCTCCCCTCTCGTCTTCTCCTGCATTGTCCCAGACGCTATCCTCTGAGGCCCGCGGCCCAGCTTTCCTCTCTCCACGGCTCCGCCCCCCCCTCCCTGAGTTGCTTATCAGAGTCCTCAATGTCACCATCATAAAGGCGCTGAGAGGGGACCGCGGCCCCTGCCGCTCGGGATCCCACGGGGATCAAAACACCGAAGAGGCCGTGAACCTGCGCAGCCTGGATGGTTTTCCAAGCGGCACGGAGGGTGGCCGGCTCATGCAGGCTGGGCTTTATGAGTCTGTCTGAGGACGGGGATGGATGAGGCGCGCACAGGAGGACTCTGCCGAGGGAGCACCTGCGAGCCTCAGCCTGGTCATCAGCAATGCAGATTTATTGGACCCCTCCCCCAGGGCCTGATGCTGTACTAAATGGTTTCAGCCTTCAGGCCCCCAAATCCAGCTTTTTAGCATTGTTTAAAATAAGGTATTGGGCCTTGGAAGGTGGCTCAGGGGTAGCATGCTTGCCTAGCTAGCATGCAGGAAGCCCTGGGTTCAGTTCCTCCGTACCACATACACAGAAAAAGCTGGAGGTGGTGCTGAGGCTCAAGTAGTAGAGCGCTAGCCTTGAGCAAAAGCAGCTCAGGGACAGCTCCTAGGGTCTGAGGTCAAGCCCCAGGACTGGCAAATAAAGTAAGGTAGGATACTGTTGGGCTGGGAAGGTGGCTCAGTGGTAGAGCACTTGCCTTGCATACCTGAGGCCCTGGGTTCGATTCCTCAGCACCACATAAACAAAAAAGAAAAAAGCCGGAAGTGGCGCTGTGGCTCAAGTGGTAGAGCGCTAGCCTTGAGCTGAAGAGCTGAGGGACAGCGCCCAGGCCCAGAGTTCAGGCTCCACGACCAGACCCCCCAAAAGTGAAGTATGGTACTGTTAGGCTGGGTCTCTCTGGGCATTTGCTATCCACCCTGTCAGTGTTTACTTCAAGGTTTGTTTTAAAAATCAGCTGGCTGCCATGGCTCCCTGTCGGTCGTCCTGGCTACTCCAGAAGCTGGGCTGTGAGCAGGGAGGTTTGAAGCCAGTCTGCCTAGGAAAGCCCATGAGACACTTATCTCCAATAAACTACCAAGTCAGAAGTGAAGCCGTGGCTCAAGTGGTGGTGCACTAGTCTAGAATGAAAGAAGGCCAAGGGCAGTGCCCAGGCTCTGAGTTCCATTCCCAGGACTGGCGCGCATACACGTACACAACTCAAGACGGAGGGTTTCGCAGTGCTGTTACTTTCTTTTGACTTGCTATCTATCCATTGGTAGATGGCACAGGTGTCCTGTGGGTGTGGCCTCCCCCACACCGGTGTGAGGTCTGAGGCTGGCTGGGCTGTGGGAACGTGGCGTTGTGGGGGGTTTAGGACCCTGGAGCTGGGGCCGTGGCAACCAACTCACGGGCCTTGGAAAGTGACAGGGATGGAGGAGGGAGAAAGGCACACATGGCGCTGGAAGTCACATCGTAGTTGGCAGAAACCGGATGCCTGCTCTGTGCACGTCATATTTTTTATTTATTTATTTATTTTTTGGTCAGTCTTGAGGCTTGAACTCTAGGCTTAGGCGCCGTCCCTGAGCTTTTCAGCTCAAGGCGAGTGCTCTACCACTTGAGCCACAGTGCCACTTCTGGGTTTCTGGTAGTTCATTGGAGATAAGAGTCTCGTGGACTTTACTGAAGTGCGATCCTCAGATCTCAGCTTCCTGAGTGTCTAGGATTACAGGCGTGAGCCACTAGCACCCGGCGCTGTGCAGGTCATTTCTAAGATGCTGTGGTCATGGCAGTAAATAAGGTCTATCTGAACTGCCTGTCTTCATAGAGCTTATATTCTAATAGGAGAGACAGCCAGTTTCTTTTCTTTTATCTCTCCTTCCTTCCCTCCTTCCTTCCTACCCGCCTTCCTTCCTTCCTTCCTGTGCCAATACTGGGGCTGAACCTCAGGAGCTGGGCATTGTCCCGTAGTTTTTTGTTTTTTTTTTGCACAAGGCTGGTGCCCTACTATTTGAGCCATATCTCTACTTCTGGCATTTTGGTAGCTACTTGGAGTTAAAAGTCTCATGGACTTTTTCTGCGTGGGCTGGCTTTGAACCACAGTCCTCAGATGTCAGTGTCCTGAGTAGCTGGGATTACAGGCCGTCAACGCCAGCTTGCCTCTCTATACCTTATCTCTTAGCTTACCTGTCTATACCTTATCTCTTAGCTTACCTGTCTATACCTTATCTCTTAGCTTACCTTCTATACCTTATCTCTTAGCTTACCTGTCTATACCTTATCTCTTAGCTTACCTGTCTATACCTTATCTCTTAGCTTACCTCTGGTTCCTTCCTGAGTGGGCTGTCTCCTGACTGTTGTTTCCTTTGGGCAGAAAACAAGGGATTTTATGAAAACCCAACACTGAAAATGTTTGCAGTTCGGACAGATATCAGCTAAGAATAAAACCCGTGGTTAGATGAGTTTTAGAATTATGTGTGGACTAAAATATTTATGTTTGAGATTTCAAATAATCACTCATGCGAAACGAAGTTGTCTCTCTTCATCCCGCCCTGCCTTGTACGTCTACCCTTCCCCATGGGGCCTGGCTCCGGGGTCACCTCAACTTGGGCACACCTTCTTATCCCCCTGCTTCTGCTCTGTCCTGTTTTCTAAGGCCCCAGAGTTACTGGGAGAAAGTCCAGCTGTGCGCAACGAGGCGCTAGGTAGCTGGTAGCCTAAGCCTTGAGGTGGCGATGCTGAGGAAACCAACTCGCAGGTCCTTAGGGGTTTTGATTTCTTTTTCTTTTTGTGCCAGGAGTGGGACTTGACCTCAGCCCCTGTGCTCTTGCTTGGCTTTTTCAGTCATAGCTGGTGCTCTTCCATTTGAGCCACTGTTTCACTTCTAGTTTCTGGGTGATCAATTAGAGATAACCCCTCAGGACTGAGAATGTGGCTTAGTGGTAGAGTGCTTGCCCAGCATGCAGGAAACCTTAGTTTCAATTCCTCAGCACCACATATACAGAAAAAGCCAGAAATGGCACTGTGGCTTAAGTGGTAGAGTGCCAGCCTGAACAAAAGAAGCTCAGGGATAGTGCCCAGGCCTTGAGTTCAAGCCCCAGGACTGGCAAAAAAAAAAAAAATCCCTCAAATTTTGATCCTTATATCTCGGCCTCCTGAGTAGCTAGGCTTACAGGTGTGAGCCACCGGCTCCAGCCTTAAGAGGTTTTGAAACGGGCTGTGAGCAAGAGTTCTTGAACTCAGAACTTGGGGTCGGATGCACTCGAACCAGAAGAGCCTGTCGGTTCCATCTGGAAATGGGGTTCTGGGTCTAGTCCAGTGGGACAGGAGGGGGGATGGGAGTCAGGAGCGTTCTTGACAGCCAGGGGCCAGACTAAGTTAAGGGGCCCTCTGCCCCCGTCCTCCCACCATGGCCCCGCTGGCCCCGGGGCAGCCAGACCGGCTTTGGCAAGTGGGGCACAAGGGCCGCGCCAGGTGGTGAGTGTGGAGGAGAAGGCAGGTGGTGGTGGCGCGCGCAATGGCACGGGGTGGTGGGAAGCCAGGGCGTCCTCCGACTCTTTGCCTTCCCACCTTCCCAGAGTGAAATCCACGCCCGTTAATACCTTTCTTCCCTTTCTTGTCTCCCTTGCACCTTTTCCTGGTCCTCACCTGGATGTGCCTTCTGCCTCCCATCGGTCCGTCCGTCTGTCCTTCCTTCCGTCCTGCCCTCCCCGTCTTCCTGCCACTCCCTGCTCCTGGCCCTGGGCACCTGTGATTGCTCGGAATGCTCTTTCCCTGGCCGTTGGGCGGCTGCAGCAGAGGGGAAGGTGTACAGCTCTGACGAGGAGAAGCTGGAGGCGGCTGCAGGCGACCGCGCCGGCAGCGAGCAGGAGGAGGAGGGCTCAGGCGGTGAGAGCGAGGACGACGGCTTCCTGGACGGTTCTGCCGGAGGCCCAGGGGCCCTTCTGGGACCTAAGCCGAAGCTCAAGGGAAGCCTGGGGCCGGGAGCTGAGGAGGGGGCACCGGTGGCCCCGGGAGGGGCAGCCCCCGGGGGGAAGAGCCGGCGGCGGCGCACGGCCTTCACCAGCGAGCAGCTGCTGGAGCTGGAGAAGGAGTTCCACTGCAAGAAGTACCTGAGCCTGACGGAGCGCTCGCAGATCGCGCACGCGCTCAAGCTCAGCGAGGTTCAGGTCAAGATCTGGTTCCAGAACCGTCGGGCCAAGTGGAAGCGGATCAAAGCCGGCAACGTGAGCAGCCGATCGGGGGAGCCCGTGAGGAACCCCAAGATCGTGGTGCCCATCCCCGTCCACGTCAACAGGTTTGCGGTGCGCAGCCAGCACCAACAAATGGAGCAGGGAGCCCGACCTTGACCCCGCTCTCCGCAGGGCCTGCTCCCTGGCCACCCCGACACCCGCTGAGCTCTGGGGAGACGGGGCACCCAGCACCCAGAGATGTGGACGCTTCAGCGCACAGGGCGTCCAATTCTCGTGGCGGGACGGCTGGGACGAAGGCAGACACCCCGGACAGAGCAAGACTATCAGATACCCAGGACCCAAAGGCTCCATGGCTGGGGCCCTGGAAGCTTCTGAGCCCTGGGCAGTACTAGCCAGGTGGCTCACAGCTCCTTATTTATTTTGTGTAAAGTTTGTATATACGGAGCTGCCTGTCTCTCTGTCTACACCCTGAAGAGAGGCCAAGCCCTGTGTCCTCCATCCTTAGCCAGAGTCGGTTGCATCCGGTTTGTCCTGTGCCCCCGGATGCTCGTCAGCACCTGTCCCCAGCCCTTTGCTCCCATCTCGTCACTTTCTCCTCCCCTGGGCCACGTGGTCCCCTCTCCCTGTGAGCAGCTTCTCGGCCCTCTCCGCTTTGGAGGAGGTGGTGCGCCTAGGGTGACACGCCCGTTCGTATGAAGGAGAGGGAAGGACGTGACCCCGGCTTGGCTGTCTTAACTCCATAGAGGTCACTGTCCTGTCTCCGCCTGTTGCCCAGCGCGGGGCTCATCTCCCATCGGATCTGGTGGTCAGCAGCTCCGTTGCCTCTGGTGCCCGTGGCTAGTTCCAAAGTGCCCAGGGTAGGCAGCCCCACTTCCAGCCCCCCACTCCCTCACCTGCCTGTGCTTTCTCCTCTTACACCACGCACAGGACACCACGGCCTTGGGTTACAGGAGGTGGATGAGGGGCCACCGCCATGTGAACGGGACAGGCGTGTGTCTATGACAATGCTGCAAGTGCGCGTGTGCCGTGGACAACACAAGGGTGCTGGAGTCAGGGACTAGAGCTGAGACCGTGACGCCGTTCATGGCAGCCGGTCCCAGGAGCTGGTTCTAGAGATCATCAGCAGACTCGGGGGACAGTGGATCATTATGGAAACCCACTGGGTGGGTAGGGGGGTAACCAGCATCTTGGGGTAAAAGCTTGATCTGGGTTGACTGAATAGGGGAGTTGGAATCTGAACTAGAACAGTGCCATGGAGAAGAAAATAAGCGAGCTGAGGCTAGGAGACTTCAGTATTCAGGGCAGGGAAGACAGGAATGCATGGTTCAAATCCATGACGCCTCTGCCTTCCTTAGAAGGTCCAGTTCCTCTGGTGACTCGCTTCCCAGTGGCAGCCTGGCCAATGTCCCCTTTGCCCAAATATGTGTTTAACACCTGCAATAAGACAGAAATGGCCTCTCCTTGGCAGTTCCAGGCAACCAGGAGGTGTGACTGGTCACTAATGGAGCATGTCCAGCTGTCCGGCGAGGAGACAGACCCAGAACATTTGTCTTCATTCCTTGGCTGAATGTCAGCAGGGATGGGGAATTCAGCTGGAGGTACGCAGTCCAGACCTGCCGTTCTCAGCTTCTAAGAAGGTTGAGGTTGGCTCCCCTGCACTCAGCCGCAGGGCACCTGTGGGGCGGGCCTTCTAGAAGATAAGCAAGGCGGGAGCTGGAGCAGTCTCTTCATCTTCACAGTGGGTGACAAGAACACTGGGCAGGAAGGCTGGGGATGACTGGTCACTGACCAGGCCTGCCTTGCCCTTTTCTTCTGGCTTTCCAAGGCCTCAGCTGTCCCCAGCTAACCCTAGTAGCTTGTCTTTAGGGAGTCAGAAAGGGGCCATTTCTAGTCAGTCCAGGAACCTTGTCCTATACCTACCCACGCTGACCCTGCCCAGCACACACTGAGGGCCATCAGCCTTGTGAAAAGGGACGTGCGCAAATAAACTGCTTTCCTGTCTCAGTAGTGTTACTTGGTTATTTACCTACACGTAGACCGGTGCCCCAGTGGAGCAGATAACCCAACAAACACATAGCCTCTACTCAAGGTGTCACAAAACACAGGTCACCAACAAAGTGGAACCAGGACTAGAGAACAGGCTCCTGAGTCAGGAGCCAAACTTAGCAGGAAGGCTCCCCCCAGGCTTCCTTGTGCCTGCAGCGGGGGGGTTGAACTCAGCATCTTGTACCCTTCAGTGGCTTTTTCTCTCAAGGCTGGTGCTCTTACCACTTGAGCCATACCTCCTTTTGTTGGCTTGAACTCTGGGCCTGGGCGCTGTCCCTCAGCAATTGCCACTTCCAGTTTTCTAGTGGTTTATTGGAGGTAAGAGTCTCATGGAATTGAGCGCCAGTGGCTCATGCCTGTAATCCTACTCAGGAGGCTGAGATCTGAGGATCGCAGTTCAAAGCCAGCCCGGGCAGGAAAGTCCGCGAGACTCTTATCTCCAATAAACCACTAGAAAACCAGAAGTGGCACTGTGGCTCAAGCAGTAGAGTGCTCGCCTTGAGCTGAAGAGCACAGGGACAGCGCCCAGGCCCCGAGTTCAATCCCCACGACTGACCCCCCCCCCCAAAAAAAAGTGTCATGGACTTTCCTGCCCTGGCTGGCTATGAACGTGATCCTCAGATCTCAGCCTCCTGAGTAGCTAGGATTACAGGAGTGAGCCACCAGTGCCCAGCTTCCAGCCTTTTATTAATCTTAATTCACAGATTTCTTTTTGCCTGGTATGGCTTTGAACTTGGATCCTCAGATCTCATTGGTCCAAGTGGCTAGGATTATAGGTGTGAGCCACCAGCACTTGGCCCCGATTTTCTTAAGATGAACTGTTTGTCCAGGAAGGGCAATGCTTCTGCCAGCACAGGGCACGGGGCACAGGGCTGGCTGCTGGAAAGCTCGGTGGCGTGGAGCGGGCCGTCCCTCTGCAGGCTCAAGCTCAGGGTCGCTGTACTGTGCTGCTGAGAAACTCAGCGCCAGTCCTGCCAAGCAGACTGGATGGACAAGGAAGAGGCCAAGGGAAGGCAGCTCCCCCAGAGGGAGGACCTAAGAAGAGATGGCACAAGAGAAGAGCTAGAGATGAGGGGAATTCAGGAGAGCAGAGGTAAAAAAGGGAAGACACAGCCACACACACAGTCTGGTTTATTGGCTCATCATACACGCACACCAAATATGTACACAAACATAAATATTCCAATGTACAAATTTTACAAGGGACTCAAAGATCGCCCCCTTTTCTCTTTCACCCAGTACCCCTGGCCTGGCCCTTCCTTCCCCATTGTAGAATGAAGACTTGCGGGGGCTGGCGTTAGGAGGTAGGGGTTTGGAGGAGGGAGAGGTCCCGCCCCCCTCTCCTCACAGGCACCTCCAAAGGGTCCTGTCCCTTCTCAACGGCACCCTGGGGCAGAGGGCTAGCAACATGCTTTCTCGGGTGCAGCCGGGTCCGGCGGCTCCCTTTTCCTCTCCTCCCCGCTGCCTCTCCTCCTTCCTCTCACTGCATGGCCAGCCTCTGTGGGTCTGTTTCTCCGGCGCCTGCAGTAGGAGGGTCACCAGGTCTCGGAGTCCTTCTGGCCCCTCTGCCCTCTTCCTGGCCCTCATAGGAGGCTAGGGCTGCGGTGTAGCTCCGCGGAGGAGTTGGTGCCATTGGCGGGCTCTCTGTTGGGAGTAGGTGCTAAGCCACAGCCTTCCACAGGGCAGCCATGCTGGATCAAGATGTCTGCACACTCCTGGCTGCCAGCCCGGCGGGCGTAGGCCAGTGGGGTCAGGCCCCGGGCATCCCGGCTCCTCACGTCCACCCCGTACTGCAGGAGAAAGCACATGCTCACAGTTGGCATGGTGCGGAAGCCAGCCTTCAGCTGGAGGGGCGGGGGGGAGGAGGAGGAGGAAAAGGCCAGGTAGCTCTGGCAGGCTGGGGTAAGAAAGGGAGGCCAGGGGAGGCCAGAGGGGCTAGACTCACCCAGATGAGCAGCTGTGTGAAGACCACATTGGCCATGGCGCTGGACAGGTGCAGCGCCGTCCGCCCGTCCCCGTCCCCATACGTCTCGTTCACCTCCTCCTTGGAGCCGTGCGCCAGCAGCATCACCAGCAGCCGCAGGTCGTCCTCCACCACGGCCCGGAGCAGCTGCTGCCCCAGGGGCACGTCGGAGCTCGGCAGCGGGGCCAGGAAGAGCTTCTGCTCGTACTTGGCCCGGATCCAGCGTTCCTTCTCCTCTCTGCAAGCACAGGTCCATGAAGGCATGAGACAGGGAAGGAAACTGAGGCATGCTTGGGATTGGGGGTGGGGGACTAATCGGGAAGGACACAAATACCCAGGAGGCAGGGAACCGGAGAGGAGGCTGAGGCGTCACGGAGGGAAGGGAGGAGAGAGCAGCCCAGGGGGCTCGCGGGCACTCGGAAGCAGCAGGTCACACAAAGGAAGGGCCGGTGCGAGGGGAACCCCGCAGCAGGGACTTGAGGGACAGGAGGACAGGAGGTTGCAGACAAGCCTGAGCGGCAGCTTATCTGACTGTCAGAAAGCTCCCCAGCTGACAGGGTTGCAACAAAGCGGGTGCGGGGCCACAGTGCCCCTATCTACCACCCATTCTCCCCATCTCCCCCGGCAGGCTGGGGGTCAGAGCCACACCGCGATAGGGACCCTGCGCATGCGCCTCCCACTGGCTCCTGACCTGCCGATGATAACGGCTCCTGAGTGACAGGCACGGGCACGGGAGGGGGACACCTCTAGGGGCCGACTAGGAAGCAGCGCAGCCACTGGCGTTAACCCCTCCCACTCTGACACGGCCACAGAGTCCCGTTCCGTCTGTCCTGCCCACATCAGAGCCCTGGCTGGCGGGCTGGCACCAGGGACCGGGGTCCCGTCCACTTACCTGCAGGCTTCGGGCCCTGGCTTTGCGTAGCCATCCAGGGCTCCTTCCCAGACGCTGTTGGCCAGGGTGTTGCCCATGGCAGTCATGACAGCCAGCAGCTCGGGTGGCCAGTCGTCGAGATCGAGCGAGCGGACCCGAGAGAGGTGTGCGCCCAGGTGCCGGTGGGTCCCCGAGCACTCGATGCACATGAGGGCACCCAGGTTCAGGCTGGCCCAGTCTGGATCTAGGCAAAGGGAAGAAGGTGACGTGGGTGGCCACTAGCAAGGGAGGCCTCCTCCCGGTGCTGTGCCGCTCCCCCCCTCCCCGCACTCACTGGGGGCTTCGCAGTCGATGCAGAAGCTGTTGCCTCGGACAGTGCGCACGGCCTGCACGGCCAGGGCTGTGTTCTGGTTCCCTAGGCGCGTCTAGGGGTGGACAGTGAGACAGAGGGGGGCTGCTCAGTCCCAGGCCCCGCCCCATCGGGCTGGGGTCCCCGGGGTACCCCACACACCTTGTCTTTGGCACTGCGGCAGCCCTGCAGGCTGGCGAGGATCTGGGCCTGCACGCTCTGTACCCACAGCTCCCGCTCTTCCGCTGTCGACGCCTCAAAGTGCCACGTCTGCCCGGTGAGCGACACGACCACGAACTCGAAGGACTCCTCAGCCTCTGCAGGAGGGAGGGCGCCACCCATCAGGACTCCGGCCAGCGGTGTGCGCACCCCAGGGTGCACCGCTGCCACGGTTCCATCTAGACCTCCTGCTGGCACTCCTCCTCCCGGAAACCTGCCCAGCGGCCA